GGTTCTGTTCCCGTCTCCTGTCACTCTTAAGGTTCCAGCTGTGACCAAACAAGATCCGAAGGGCTCCTTCGTCAACAGCCCCGTCAGCTCTCGCCACTGTATCACAATGGCTCAATCCGCCACCTCAGTCGCTCGGACCAAATTGGTCGCCGCTATTGGCCGATAGATGCACCTGGCAGAGCGCATCACCGCCGCCCAATCCGCCTCTCTGTCCGAGGTCCGTCGTGGCCAAATCCTCAGCATGTGGACGGACGTCGAGGCCGAATATAAGGCCTGCTCCGCGGTGATGACTGACGAGGAGCCAGAAATCCAAGCGGACATCCGTGACACATACGGTGAATGCTATGGGGTATTTGAGCAGTGTCTCAGTGACCTCAATGCCCAACTGGCTACATCCACAGTCCTTCCTCCTTTACAGCCAGTCCAACAGGGCGGCTGTCGACTGCCCCCGTCAATATTGAGGCATTCACAGGGGACTACGTCCGCTGGCCCACATTCCGGGATCTGTTCACTGCGGTCGTGATCAACAATCCTAGATTGTCTCCGGTAGAGAGGCTGTATTACCTCACCGAGAAGACCCGGGGCGATCCGAAGGCCATCGTAGAGAAATCCCCCCTCACTAATGACGGTTTCGAGTCCGCATGGTCGGCTCTCCGCAGCCGATATGAAAATAATCGGCTTCTGGTTACCAACCAGATAAACATCCTCCTCTTCTTGCCCCGCGTAACTTCCGAGTGCAGTCGGGCTTTGAAGGATCTACAAAGTACTATGCAGGGGGTCTTAAATGCACTAGCTGTCTCCAACGTCTGTACCGACAATTGGGATAGTCTCCTAGTGACCATCTGCGCTTCCAAATTGCCAAAGTTAAGCCGGGCGTTATGGGAAGCGTCCGTAATTAGGACATAGTCGGATTGGGTGATTCTCCTTGGAACAGAGATCACACGTGCTCTTGCTCGGATTCACGTGGCTTTGGAACGAGTGCGCTGTCCTTGGAACAGGACTGCCTTGGAAACGGAACGGATTGGACTGGCTTTGGGAGGATGGCGGATTCTGATTGCCTTTGCCTGGTGCCGGATTCGGAGCGCCTTGGGAAAAAGGAGGTGACGCCCTGGAAGGAAATCGACTCTTTCCTGACTCAGCGATACCTAACGCTAGAGGCTATCGAGAGCGACCCCTCCACTTCCCAAGGCGCTCCGAATCCGGCACCAGGCAAAGGCAATCAGAATCCGCCATCCTCCCAAAGCCAGTCCAATCCGTTCCGTTTCCAAGGCAGTCCTGTTCCAAGGACAGCGCACTCGTTCCAAAGCCACGTGAATCCGAGCAAGACCGTGTGATCTCTGTTCCAAGGAGAATCACCCAATCCGACTATGTCCTAATTTCCTACAAATGACCGTAGATATCCGCTCCAACTGCATAAAGCAAAAGCAGCTCTGCTTAAATTGCTTCGCAAGAGGCCATCAGCTTCGCGACTGCTCAAGCTCCCACAATTGCAACACTTGTGGAGGACGACACCACACGCTTCTGCATCGTGGCAATCCAGCTTCCAGCGAGTCACATTCCACATCCGTACCCAATTCGACAGCTTGGCCAGACGTCAATCGACCAGTACCTTCCGCAGAAAATTCAAGTTCTTCCGAACCTCGGAAAAATTTCCGCGCCCGCGCTCTGATCGACTCGGGCTCCGAGGCAACGTTCATTACGGAAGGCCTTTTCAACACGATTCAATTGCCATTCCAACGTATTCAGACACAGATCTCCAGCTTCAATCACACAGTATCCGCTCATTCCGATAAGCTCTGTCAAGTTTCCATGCGCTCCCCAACAAGGCCGGGTTTACAATTAAACGCTTCGGCCTATGTTATCCCGGAATTGGCAAGGAATCTTCCGTTGCATCCTATCTCGCCAAGTTTATTGAAAGATCTGCCGAGTCTTCCATTGTCGGATCCTACATTCTTCGAGAGCTCACCAATCGATGTCCTGATTGGAGCCGATATCCTACCATCGGTCATGCTGAGCGGCTTACAGCCCAACATATGTGGCTCTCTTCTCGGCCAAGAAACCATTTTCGGATGGGTGCTCACTGGTCCCGTGTCCGATACGGCGTGCCATCAAGTTGCATCCTTTTCTTGTCAAGTTTCCAGAGAAGCTTCCAATGTCCCAAATGTGCCCGTAATCCGTTCCAAGCTCACTTCTAATGCTTTTTCGACTTTTTCATTTCGCCCTAGCCTTCCACATACAGACATGGCTGCTCGATCCCGTTTCGACCGCACCGTGGAGAGCAGACGTTCCCGAGGTACTAAGTCCTACCAATGCCGAGTCTGCTCTGAAATCCACCCTCTACGGAAATGCCGCCGCTTTCTCCGCCTGGATTCCGAAAGGAGGCTCCAAGCTGTCCTCCACTTCAGCTACTGCACCAATTGCCTGGCTCACCGACACTCCGGCCACGATTGCCGAAGCGGTGATCGGTGTAAGGGTGTAACCGGAGCCACCACACGTTACTCCACCCTTCCCGAGTCTCGGCGCCCATCTGGCTCCTCTGCGGCACCGCCGCCTTCATCTTCAGCGTACAGCGTCGATGTGCGCCCTCGTCTTCCTGTGAGCCGCCCCGGCATAGGAATTCCGAATCCAGCAGCAACCTCCTTGCTTCCAAATCGGAGCATATAGAGTCTTTGCAATCCTGCAAGGGGGGGGAGAATGTTTAGAGTGAGGACGGCGCTGGCGGGGCAACAGCTCTGTGGGCATTCCACCCACTGTTAGCAATCCAGCTACGCAAGCTGTTGCCCTCGCTCTCACGCTTAGGAGCTTTTTTCCCCCGGTGACGCGCTCTCGAGCGCATATTCACCACGCTTGCGCTCCCGCCCACGCTCACGATCACGCTCCCGCTCTCGCCTCCGACAGCCCTCGGCAGCTTGAGTACCACCGAAATTCAATGCGCTTCTTCACCCACAAGAAAACGGTTTTGCACGCGAGACATATATATGTACATTACTTAAATATATACTGAAGAAACTTGGACCTGCCTCTTGTACTTATCTGTGGGAATTCATCTGTGGAACTACGAAAGCCCCTTCGCTCAAACATTGTGGTCCTTCGAGCCGGAGCTTTTTTCAAAGTACGATGCAGGGAGTCCTAAATGCGCTTCTTCACCCACAAGCAAACGGCCGGTTTTGCACGCGATACAAATACATATATATATAAGCCCAGAACAACCCCGAAATATATACGAGAAGAAATTGGAACTGCCTAACGTCTTTAATTTGGGATTCTGAACGGTGGAACTTCGAAAGCTAGCTGGAAGGCAATAATCGGAACGACTCGGATTGTTTGAGATCACCTGTAGGTGAGAAATCTCAAACAATGAGTGACCCTATATTGAGCCGAGCTGAGGAGAGGAACGGTCACACTGGAGTAGCAATATTTGGAAATATTGACTGTGCGATGCTCCTCCGTTTACCCCTTGACGCAGTCGTGAGCGGAACTGGGTTACTATCGGATAGAAGGAAGCAATGGAACAGGCGGACCACGGAAACGGAACAACAATAATTTCTTTATCAAAAAAAAATAAATATTTTTTTGTTTGTGAACCAAAAAAAATATATATATTTTTTTTGTTTTGATAAAGAAATTATTGTTGTTCCGTTTCTGTAGGTGTCCGTGCCTGCTTCCATGCTTCCTTCCTTCGCTCAAACACATACGAATATCAACCCTGACTCTGTTCGCGAGGTGTTTTTTTTCGATCTGAGTACTAGGCTTTAAAAGAATCTAATAAAATATAATCGCAAAAAATATATATATTTTTTTCTAAATTCATATTTCAAATTTGTTCCTTAAGCATAGTATCCAGCACCGCGGAATCGAAAAATTCCTGTAAAAACCCCATATAAAAAAAACTGTGGCAATAATTTTTTCGTTTACGTTTTCCTGGAGTGTGTATCCAGCAACACGAGCGGAATCCACAGATTTATATAGATAGTTGCCTATCGGGACCGTATGTGGACTGAGAGAACAGCTGACACCCAGCTCAGGAATATATGTTCTACAGTTATTCCTGAATTGAATGGTGTAAGATGTTGGCAAAAACTGTCCGCAAAACTAAAACGAGAGATGAAAATTATTCTTTTTTGTTTTGCAACAATATATGCCGCCACCAAAACAATCACTTCATCATCAGAGTGCATTTTTTTTCTTTTTTAATATTAGCAGAATTTTACAGTTGGCACTGTTTACAAAACACAGCTGATTCATCAACCCTGTTTAGCTATGTTCCTAACCATCGCGGAATAACAAGCAAATTCATGGTAGGAATTTTCCGTGGTGCTGGAGACAAAGGCCTGTCTCCAGGCCTAGCTTGAGTACTTTTTGAGAAAAATGCATTAACATTTTCCTTTTAAGCACGGGTTTCTTCATTTTTTCAAAAACAGAAAAATGGTTTCACGTTGAACAACGATAATAAATCTTAAAAAAATTTTGAAAATTATAAAATTTTTGTTTTGTAAAGCTAGATCAATTCCTAATTGAAGTGCAACAACATTTTTGCCAAATTCAATAACGCGATATCCGACTTTTGGGCCCAAAACCCATTCGTTGTGGTATTTATTTGTGACTAAATATGAAGAGCAAAAAGATGTCTGTCAAAGGCAGACGGAATACAAATCATAAAGGGAGACGAGAGAACGCCGACTCATACATACATATATACTTATGTTGGATAATGCATAACAGAAAGGAAAATAGAGAAGACACAGTGCGTTGTTTAAGTTTGCATATTCAACATGTAGATTCTACATACACAATGTAAATGCTGATCAAGAATATCTATACTTTATGAGGTCGGAAACGTTTCGTTTTCTGCGTTACACACATCCAATTTACCACAAATCTAATATACCCCTTAACTCTTTTTGAGTACGGTTATAAAAACCAAGCAGTAGGAAACTGATATAAAAAAATAAATATAGTAAGCCTGGAAATAATTATTCACATTAATGTTCCCTCTAAAACCGATTTCAATCTGTTTATGTAATTTAAAATCTGGAAAGATTGCAATATTTAATTAAAATGCTTGAAAGTGAAGCCGACAGTCTTTTAACAAGCGCAAACCACGATAAAGATTTTGGTAAGATATGAATTATTGATTACGGTCCATTACGTCCAAGTATTTTCACATATATCTAGGTAACAACTTAAAAGATGATTTTTTGGAGACATCTCAGATTATTTTACAGTTGGAAAATACCAAAGAAATGGAACTTGAACAACTTGTTAAATCTGTTCAGAGGATGACGGTTTTATATTCATTAGATAACCGCGACTGGAATAAAACATTGCTGGATATAATTAAAAGATGGTTACTACACGCAGCAGAACCTGTTCTGACAATTTTTTATGATTGCAACATTCTAACAGGATGTCTTGGATTTCCAGTTGCCCCGGTCCTAGATTTATGCTACTTTATTCGTTCATCAAATCAAAACTTCTCAATAGATACCTTTCATGATTTGGTTAACTATGGAACAATTCATGATGATGTAGATGGCTGCCTCTTAAGTATATTGGAATTTGTTTATGCTCCCGTCTTCCGTAATTTTAAAGAATGGGGAGATAATGTAAAGCAGCGTTTTTGCACAGCCCTAGATAAGTTTCTGGCCTTTTTAACAGGAGCATATTTCAAAATGTCTGGCATGACGGTTTTATATGTACCATATGTCGTAAAACAAATCGATCGGGAAAGCATATCATATGAAAGAGAGTTTGTTAAGAACTTGGAAGTTATTGCAGTATCCTGGGCTACTCAAATTCGAACACTACTAAATGACAAAACGCTGCCAGTTTCTAATGAATTTATTAGTGTTGAGGATGAGTACGAGTTTTGGTTATATCGTTGTAAGTTGGGAGGTGCTCCAATATAATTATTAAATTAATTTATTGTTTTATTTTATGTTGAAATGATATACATAACAGTCGAAGTTTTACAAGGCCTTAACGCACAACTAGAACAAGCTGATGTTCAACAAATAATAAGAGTACTGCGTAACACTCATTCGGTATATATAAAGCAGATTGATGAACTAATATATGAATCGAAGCATGAAATGGATGAAGGAATGTCAAATATAAAATTTTTACATCTGCTTATGAATCCTTGCGCTGAAATAGATTTAGCTAATAGCCCAGTATTTGTTTCACAGCTTATACCAGGAATAATTCATTTAATTCGATTCATTTGGTTAAATTCAGAAAGTTATAATCGGCGTGACTTGATAACTGGGCTGTTCCGAGACTTAAGCAACCAAATAATACGCTTCTGTACGGAAATAACTAATGTTGATAAAATACTTTCTGGTAGTTCAAGATTCGGAATAAAAATGTGCAACATGTGCATTGATTGTTGCTTGACTTATAAAGGAATGTACGATCTTATGTCAAAAGAACATGGAAAAATCAATAATGAGTATGGTTGGAATCTGGACAATGCTATGATTTTTAATCATGTAGATGCATTTATGGAGCGGCTTAATGACGTTATTGACATATGCGAATCAATGATTGTGTTTGGTCGATTAGATGAAACTGAGAGTATACCTAAGCCACAATTTGGAGGCACCAGTGGAGGTGAATTTGAGACAACATCTGCTCGCGTTGAGACTCACTTTCTGGCCACACTGACAGCATTAAGTACCGATTCGAAAGAGTTAATATTAAATGTGAATAAAAATGAATGGTACGAAGAAGTAATAAAATATCGACGAACAGTTCAAAGTATGGAAGAAACCGTTCAGCGTTTAATGTCCAATGTCTTTCAGCATGTTTGTAATATTGAAGAGGCCTTAGAGACGCTGAACATCTTATTATTTTATTCATATCGTAGTACAATTCGTAAGACATTTTTACGACAAGTCTCAAATGTGTGGGTTATGTTTGCAACTGAAATAGATAGTACTTCGCAAATGCTTATGGATCGTAGTAAGTTACACGAGTCTTGGGTCCCGTACTATGCTTCGCGTGCTGTTGGGTACCACATCAATCTAGAAAGATTAAAGTGGTTACGAAATCGATTAAATTCTTCAGAATGGTTGCCTAATGTATCCGAGGCTGCCATTGTGCTGTTCAAATATGAAATTCTTCGCAAAGAATTTGATAAAGAGATTAAAAAGATATATGATGAATGGCAGAAAAATTGTTGTATGTTGAACCAAAAACTGGATCGAAATCTCATTATCCGCAGTAAAAAAAAAAAGGGTTTAATAGAATGTAATATTGACCGCACAGTATTAACTATTTGTGAACAAGCAGAACATTTTGAGCGCCTTGGATTTGGAGTACCTGGACCTGTTCGAAAAATATATGAAAAACATGAAACTCTACGTTTTGTATATAATAGTGTAGTGCAGGTGTGCCTTAACTACAATCATATACTATCAGCTCTTTCAGAGCAAGAAAGAAAACTTTTTCGTGCACTGATTCAAGCGTGTGATCGCAAGATTGCACCTGGGATTTTTAAATTAACATATGGTGGTGAACTTAGTGATGCCTACATTGCAGATTGCGCAAAGCATACTAATAAGCTTCAAGAAACAATGGATATATATAAGCGAGCAAATCTACATGTTGCCCGTACATGCGAAAAAATCTGCGATACTCCAATGCTTAAATTTAATTTCGCAGGTGCGGTTATAATATCACTTTATGAATATCAATTGACGAACTATATCCGTCGTGTTACAAATTTACTTCGAGGCTACTATAACACTATTATCGATTTATTGTTTGCTGTATTTAAGGAGTTCCAATCGGTCATTGATGATGTAAGTATATATGTGTTACAATTTTGATGCACTTACAATTTTATAAACTGAATATTAACTATATGAGGCAACGCTTTCCAACGCTGGTACATAAACTTAATAGATAGAATCCCTTGACTCTTAAAGGAGCTTAACTCCGAAAACGACAAAATGCATACATTTTATACAAACAAACCGGAATGGAAAAAACTAACTTTTGTCAATTGCTCCGAAGATGGTATGCGCGAGGCCTTGAGATGGTATTCGATCCGCACTATTCTTTACCCACCCTTCCATGATTTCCGATATGCGATAATTTTTCGGAAATCCCTTTACGTTTTCACCCTATCCCATTATGTCCCCATGTCACCAGGAAATAATTAGCTTAATTGTCCATATTCATTTCAATCCAATTTCAAATTATATTTATAAACTTATGCAAAAACCTGCTAAAACAAAATTCAAGCAAAAATGAAAAAAAAAAAAATTAAAATATAATCATTGTTCGTTCTCTTCGTAGTGACCAGACGTGTTTTTGTTTTGCGCTCCGCATTTTCCATATGTTTAACTTAAACAGCCGGTGTTTTTATACCCGTACTCAAAAAAGAGTTAAGGGGTATATTAGATTTGTGGTAAAAGTGGATGTGTGTAACGCAGAGCAGGAAACGTTTCCGTTTGCGTCTTTAGAAGCGACTCACACGTTCCTTCTCGTTTTTATCTATAATTTAACTCTCTAACTAACTTACATTATAATCATACTTTTACCGCGGGTGCATGCCTGATAATTGTGTAAAAACACAACTTATTTAATAATTTTGTGCCTCTCATTACATTTAGCCGCTCTTTGTCGTAGTTATTGCCGTCTATCACTCTCTCTATCACCTAACTCTTAATAACTGGTCTTTCGCTCTCGCTCTTGTAACTTTTTGTGTAGTAACGCTCTCACTTATAAGCTGTTGCTGCAACCACTCTCCTCTCTCATCTTTTACCGATATCGCTTTAAGCTTTGCTCTAAGGATTTGCTCTGCACAGTGGTCTGATTGCTATTTTTTTTCAACTTTTTTTTCCCGAAGTAAAAAAAAATAAAAGACATAAATATGGAATTTTCTGTCGACTGCCGTGCTGTGGAAAACGACATGGCTTCAAAGAGCTGATCGTAGGCTTTAAACAGCAATATGATCGGCTCTTGGCCATGGACACTCAGTTCAGCAGTTTACAGCTGCTGGCTGAGTCTCCGAGGCGCAAGAAGTCGACTCCTCGGGACTTGCAAGTGCCGACTGCCTCATGTCCACCGGCATCTGAAAAACTTACTCCGACCACTCCCTTAGTGCAGCAGTTGATTACGTTTGCTACTCCAAGGGCAACGATCGCTGCTGGTGATGCAGATTCGGGAGCCGAATGCGTCACTTCGGAGAGTATGCAGTTAGAAATGTCTGTAGAGTCCGTGTCCATCGAGTCCGCACCCAAACCCTTAACTATTCCCTCAGTTTCGCTCCCACCAGCTAATAGATTTCCAGGACCACCGGATACTGCCATCACAGGTACTAGGCCTGTGGTGCCAAAACCACTGGTAGGAGTCCCACCAAAGCGACAAGTTTTTGTCTCGCGGCTAACCCCTGACCTCACATCCAATGATGTGACCGCTTTTATACAAAGCAAAATAAAAGCCGTCGGCTTAAAGGTGGAAAAATTTAACTTTTCTTACGCCAGGGAGATATTTTCCTTCAATATAAGCGTCTCCCCAACTCAATTTGAAACCATTTGTTCCGCCAAGTTTTGGCCAGAACATTTGGTGGTTAAGGAGTTTAAGGCTAAGAAAAAGAATGGGCCCCCCATTAATTTTCCTAGCATTCAGACCAGTGCTCCATCTCCATCCTCATCTTCCACCTCTACTTCCACCCATCCAAAAAACTAACTTCCTCTCTTATAGTTAGCTATCAGAATGCTAGAGGCTTGCGTAGTAAGCTCAGCACTCTTGTCCTTGAGAGTCTCGCATTCTCGTCCCACGTTATTGTGTTTACCGAGACCTGGTTAAAGCCGGACATCCTTAGTTCCGAAGTTTTGGCAGGTCGGTACACAATTTTTAGAAATGACCGTTCGTCTCGACGTGGAGGTGGATCCTTATTGCAGTGGACTCAAACTTCACGTCGGAACATTTCATGGTCCAGGTTCAACAAGACCTGGAACTCCTGTGCGTAAAACTGATTCTCCCAGGCTTTTCCATTTTCATTACTTGCTCGTATATTCCACCTTCCTCGGATATCTTATATATATATATATATATCTTGGTGATTTCAATTTAGCAGGTACTGTTTGGTCTTCGGTAAACGAGTCTAATAACCTTGTGCCCATGTCACGACATGACTTTATCGACGGCTTGCGAGACATATCCCTGTCTCAAGTCAACCATGTGAAAAATTCCTTGGGTCGATTACTTGATCTGTGCTTTGTGTCGGATCCGACTATAGCGTTGTTAACCCGAGCCCTTCCGCTCAGTATACCTGAAGACTCCTACCATCCTACATTCGTGTGTCAGTCGTGTCAGTCGATATTGGCCCTACTGTATTGGATCGAATGGGTAGGCTATCTGAACGTGTCCGCTGCTTTCGTAAAGCCGAGCTTACGAAGCTTAATAACCTTATTAGGGATTTTGATTGGTCCGCTATGTATTTGTGCACTGACGTTATGAAAGGCACAAACATTTTTTACAATGCACTTGACACATTTTTTGATTCTTGTGTCCCACTTTCTTGTCCGATTAGATCTGGAAAGCCTCCTTGGTTTACCAAAGAGTTATCCAGTCTAAAAAACTTAAATCAAGACTTTATAAAAAATTTCGAGAAGTTGGTTCTCCCTCTTCTCTTTCTTACTATGTAATAGCTCGGTCAAAGTTCTCCGTTCTTAACGCTCAATGCTATAAAACCTAACTATCGCGATGCAGGATACGATTTTCACAGGACCCTAAACAGTTTTACAGCTTCGTAAATAGTAAGCGTAGAACGTCCGCACATCCATCCTCGTTAGCAAACAATGACCAGGCAATTGCCGATCTTTTTGCCAAATTTTTCCAAACAACCTATTCACCAGGTCCCGACGGAGTTCCTGGCTGTGTACTTAGGTACTGTGCCGATGCTCTGTGTGGACCCTTGCTTAAACTATTCACCCTATCCATTAACTCTTCATTCTTTCCCCCATCTGGAAGGAATCTTTTATTATTCCGCTCCATAAGAAAGGTAGCAAGTCTGATGCAAATAATTATAGAGGTATATCTAAGTTATCCGCTATTCCTAAAATGTTTGAAAAAATTTTAACTCCGCATTTGCAATATCTCTGCAAATCACTTATATCTCCGTCCCAGCATGGATTTATAAGGCGACGATCAACAACCACAAATTTATTAGAGTTTACCTCTTTTATCATTAAAGGCTTTCAAGATAACTTGCAGACGGATGTCATTTACACTGATTTCAGTAAAGCATTCGATTCTGTAAACCATTTCCTTTTGGCACAAAAACTTGACCTTTTAGGGTTTCCGCCTAATCTTTTGAGATGGATTTCTAGCTCCCTTCGTTCTAGGTCTCAAAGAGTCCTCTTCAAAAACTCCTTCTCTTCACCTGTTAAGGTTACTTCTTTAGTACCACAGGGCAGCCATCTAGGCCCACTACTATTCACACTCTTTATTAATGATCTGCGTTCAGTATTAACAAACTCTCGAGTACTCATGTATGCGGATGATGTTAAACTTTGTGTCCAGTATTAGGACATTTCATTTCACTCTCGCTTGCAATCCGATCTCAATAACTTTCAATCATGGTGTTGTGCAAATATGTTACACCTAAATGCCTCGAAATGCAAAGTAATGACATTTCATCGCTCCAGCCCCCTTTTGGCTCCTTATAGCCTCGATGCCTTGATGATCTTGGTGTTAAATTAGACCCAAAGTTAAAGTTTTCTGAACACATTTCTACCATGGTAAATAAGGCCATGGGTGTGCTTGGGTTTATAAAGAGGTGGTCAAAGGAATTTGACGACCCCTATATAACGAAGACTCTCTACATCTCGCTTGTTCGTCCGATTTTAGAGTACGGCTCTTGTGTATGGTGCCCCCAGTACAAAGTACACCAGGACCGTATAGAATCAGTTCAGAAAAACTTTTTACTTTTTGCTCTGCGTGGCCTTAACTGGGATGCAGGTGTGAGACTGCCATCTTACCCTCGTAGATTGCTTTTAATAAACCTTCCAACCTTAGTTAGTCGTAGAAAAATGCTTGGTGTGATTTTTATGCACAAACTGATCAAGGGTGACGTAGATAGCCCTGACTTGTTAAGCCGCATAAACTTTACGATTCCTATTAGATCTACTAGAAACTTCATTCCTTTGTTCCTTCCGCTTTGTAGATTGAATTATTCCTTGCACGAACCATTTAGGGTCCTTTGCTCGGACTTCAATTCCCTCTACCACGTAACATCCACTACTAATACATACCCTTCCCGTAATTAGTTCTATTTTTTAGCTATCTTTGCATGTTTAGTTATTTGAGTTGTGCTTAGCTCTAATTTTCCTCGAATTTTAGTCGAACACCTATCTTTCCTACATGCTCGCGATCGGTTCGGTAACACGCGTCGCGCGTCATGCGGTAGCGCCCCTCGATCGGTTGGGCGGGAGGACGGCTGCGTTTCTGCCTGGGTTCCGCGCGTAACAGGCTTCAGCTTCGAGTCGCATGGGCCACTTGATGGTGCAGTCATTGCATATCAACGTCCAGACATATCAGCATCCTAATGTAATAGTAGAAAAGAGGAGAACAAGTGGCTTAAATCATAATAAAAATAGAAAAATATATTATATAAATAAAATATAAAATATTATGGAACAATAAATATTATTAAAAAAATCAAAAAATATATATATAACAGGGTATAATTAATTAAATATTATAATAATAAAAAAATTATAGAAAGATGATATGATTAAAAACGAGAAGGAACGTATGAGTCGCTTCTGGGGACGCGACTCTACTCATACCCGTACTCAGTCAGTATAAACATTTTTGTGCTAATTTTTTAGAATTTTAGAATTAAACAAAAAAATTTTACATTTTACCTTTTTTTGCTACATCTGTTATCTACATCTACAATGTATATTTTACATCTAATATGTAGATTATAGATGTACCATTCATATTCTACATCTCCTCCGCTAGGGGTTGTTAGCGCACTGAACGCGGCAGAGCGTGCGAGCGAGAAAGAGAATAAGTAGCGTGTCTGTCTCTGGCAGGGGAGGCGGAGAAAGCAACTGAAAATGAATTTCTTCATTCTGGCTATAATTATGGTCCGACCTGATTAAGATTGGGCAGTCTGGTAGATATGGGTATTCTCTACGATACTGCGTTTTATCGTATCGTTAAAATTGTGCCTGCTACAGATTTTCGTCCTTTGTAGGGGCGGGTCGAAATTTTGAAATACACTTGTAGCAGTGTAATATCACATGATTCTGGAAACCAAATTTGGTTACCCTAACTCTTATAGTCTCTGAGAACGAGGGCTCAACAAGACGGACGGACGGACAGACAGACATGGCTATATCGACTCGGCTATTGATGCTGATCAAGAATACATATACTTTATGGGGTCGGGAACGTTTCCTTCTCGTCGTTACACACATCCACTTTTACCACAAATCTAATATACCCCTTAACTCTTTTTGGAGTACGGGTATAAAAAACCAAATCATATTAGGGCATTGAGGAAATTATTTATCCCGACACACATGTAAAACCAAAGATTTAGTTTAATCCGCAATCAAAATTCAATAAACTTTTTCCTTGTTGGCTAGTGCAAATGTAATGAATTAGAAGACTGCAGATAATTCCGTAAACAAACCAAAACGAAAAACGGAACTACCTCCAGCAGCTTACAAATACTTAGCGAAACAAGACCGCTCAGTTGGTGGCTTAATTCAGAATGTTTATTGAATATCTTTTGGTTCTTATCCTAGGGTACAATCGTTCTTATGTATAACGGAGAGCGAGACTTCTCCCATG